AGCTCCATTCAATTAGCAATAGCAATAGCAGTTAGACTTATATACCGCTTCATAGGGCTTTCAGCCCTCTCTAAGCGGTTTACAGAGTCAGCATATTGCCCCCAACAACAATCCGGGTCCTCATTTCACCCACCTCGGAAGGATGGAAGGCTGAGTCAACCTTGAGCCGGTGAGATTTGAACAGCCGAACTGCAGTCTGCTGAAGTAGCCTGCAGTGCTGCACTCTAACCACTGCGCCACCTCGGCCACCCAATTGCCCAGAGTCCACCCCGCAAGGGATTAAGGGGTCGTTGAGAGGATGATGGACGTCCCTTCGTTCTCATCCTTCTGATGAAAATCTCAGAGTGATTGTTGCTATTTGATGCCTGTCGGTGGTTTTCTTAAAAACACACACAGACACACAGAAGAATTCACATGGCGTCCTTTTCTCAATTTGCCTCAGATTCACCAAATGACCGAAGATGCCACCGTCGAATTGGACAAGCTACTGGCTGCAAAGACGAAGGAGCTGCTTGCCTAGGGGGGGTCACCACAAGAGGCTTTCTTCTGGCCTAAAACGGCCAGTGGTGGTTCTTCAACCGCGGGGAAGAGACTTTGGGCGGCGAACCGAAGCTCAGGACTTGAGGAAGGGGAGGCTTGGCCTCGAGGTGGAAGGATTTGGCTGCGCGACGGTGGCTACCTCAGCTCCGTCGCCGAGACCGCAGTCCTGCCGCCCAGAAGCCATTTTGGGAAAAGAAGGATCACGAACAATCTCGTCGATTAAATGCCCCTCCTGCCTGGATGTTGGGGATGGTGGTGGAGGCTTCATAAATGGGTCAGGAATTTCATATATGAAATAAAGCGAGTCTGAATAAAAGGGCTGCTTGTTGAGCCCCTAACCTTTGAGCAGCCTCAGAGTGCATGGAAACGGGCACATCCTAGGGAAGCCCCCCTCCCACTCTCCTGAAGTGGAAAAAGCTCATTTGTTTGAAATGAGTTGTATTTTTCACTTTCCAGCTACAGATGTTGGCTTGCCTTCTCTTGGCAAGAGCCGAGGTGGCGCAGTGGTTAGAGTGCTGTACTGCAGCCACTTCAGCTGACTGTTAGCTGCAATTCGGCGGTTCAAATCTCACCGGCTCAGGGTTGACTCAGCCTTCCATCCTTCCGAGGTGG